CAGGGGGTGTGTGAAAGGGGGGTGAGACAGTTAGAGGATGTTGGGCGGAGGCAGCTGTCGTGTCGCCAGCAGCGCCAGTAGTCCGGAGGCTACAATCTCCGGTAGCCCAGCGAGCCTGCTGCGCCAGTCGCCCGTGGGTCCGTTGCTCCTGCAGCTCAGAGTTAGTCGCGGAGCCAGTTACTCCAGTAGTCCGGAGGCTACAATCTCCGGTAGCCACAGTGCGCGCCGCTCCTGTTGCCCGTGTGTCTGCAGCTTCATCTGTCGTCTCCTATCTCTTCTCCTCTCACAGTCCCTCCTCCTCCTCACTTACCATCTGTGACTGCCTCTAGCTTTGCTTATATTTGTGAACTATAAACTGCTACTTCTTGTACTTGTGCTCAGAATGTGTGGTGACTTTGTGATCCACCCTGAGCTTGTTTTGCTTTGCTTGTTGTGCTGATTACACCCCACTTTGGCTATGGGGGTGTGTCAGAATGTTATGTTTTGTCTAGCCTGCAGTGGGGCACTCAATAGTGAGTACAGCCCAATTTAGGGTTTGCTATATGTACTCAACTGCTTGCTAGTGAAACCCCCTCTTTCTCATTTCAAACTTCTCGTTTCTAACATAACTGCCCCACTAACAGATTTACTGAGGAAGGGGGTCCCTTTTACGTGGGAGGAGAAAGAGCATGCTGCCTTCTCTACCCTGAAAATTGTTCTCTGTTCACCGCCCGTACTACGCATCGCCGACCCACACCGCCCATTCGAAGTGGTTACCGACGCAAGCGACATCGCCATTGGAGCCGTACTGCTACAGGACTTCGGCAACGGGTTACAGCCCATCGCATACGAATCACGAAAGTTGCATCCGCCCGAGAAGAATTACCCGATACACGGTCGCGAAATGCTTGCGATCGTACATGCGTTCAAAGTGTGGCGCTGTTATTTGACCGGCGCTGACGTGACACTACGGACAGATCACAAGTCGCTACAGTACCTCTGCGCGCAACCCCGCCTCAACCCACGACAAATCCGCTGGCTCGATTACCTCGAGTCGAATTTCCACTACACGGTCACCTACAAAAAGGGGGCATCGAACATCGCCGATGCATTAACCCGGCCCACAGCCCAAGTTCACGCCATACTACTCGCCCAGACCAGCCCACTGTTAACATACCTATTTACCCACGGTTGTCAGACTGACCCATTCTTTACAGGCGGAAATTCGCAGCAGTTTGCAGCAGCAAGGGGAGTCTATTAAATAAAAGCCGGTACTGATCGCATCTGGGTACCGGGCTACAAACGTCTACGGGAATTACTGTTGCAGGAGGCACACGACGGAGTTACCTCAGGGCATTTCGGAGTAGAGAAAACACGGCAGCAGCTGCAGCGGTACTACTACTGGCCCGAAATGTTGACCGACGTACAACGACACGTGGCATCGTGTCCCACCTGCCAAGTCATGAAATCATCACGGAAGCAGCCGGTATGACAATTGCAGCCGATACCACCCCCAGAGCGTGCTTGGCAGCAGGTGACGATGGACTTCGTCACGGGGTTACCGGGAGGTGCAAATGGGAACGACGCGATCCTGGTCGTCGTCGATCGATTAACGAAAATGGCACACTTCGCAGCCTGCAAGAAATCAATCACAGCCGAAGAAACGGCCCGCCTCTTCATCGCAACCATTGTTCGATTACACGGGATACCAGCAGCGATCATTAGCGAACGCGATACGAAGTTTACCAGCAATTTCTGGCGGAACCTGTGGCAGCAGTTCGGCACGAGGCTGCAGTTCAGTTCTTCGTACCACCCCAAAACCGACGGACAGACAGAACGGACAAATCAGACCATGGAACAGTTAATCCGAGCCACGTGCGACGACCCCACCACCTGGGAACAGAAATTGCCACTAATCGAATTCGCGTACAAAAACTCGCCATCCGCCACGACCCAACAGTCACCGTTTTACCTAAACTACGGACAAGACCCTACAGTACCCATGACCCCGAATCCCGACAACCCGGTGCCGCGAGCGCAACAATTCGCAGAAATTCTACAGGAAGCACGGACCAGGGCAGCAGACGCAATTAAAAAGGCGAACGTTATCGCTAAGCGCAACGCCGACCGCCACCGCAGACCCGTCACTTACCAACCTGACGACTTAGTTCTACTCGACACCCTAAACCTCCGCCTGCCCATAACTCCGAAACTTCGCCCCCGATATTGTGGGCCATTTCGCATCAGCCACATGATCACACCGGTCACCGCCCACCTCCTCCTTCCCGCTGACTGGTACGCCAGTCCCTCCTTCCACATCATCCTGCTTCGTCCCTACATCCCATCCACCAGCCAACTGGCCCGACATCGCCCAGCCAGCATGACCCGACCACCGACCGAGCCTGTCATCACGCCCGAAAAGATTCTGAGCCACCGAGTTCGTGACCCACGAGGAGCCCGAAGGGTCGAATTTTTAATACGCTGGAGAGACCGCACGCCCACCGAGGACAACTGGGTTCCCCTGGACAAAATCGAAAACAACCCCGTCCTCAACGAGTACTTGCGCAGCAGAAATTTCCGGGATATACACGCACTCTCGTAAGGGAGGCTTCCTTGAGGGGGGGGGGGGGGGGTAGTGTAAGGAAAATCACTTTTCCTTACTTCGCGTCCCTGCCCAGCGCGTACACCACTGTTCCCGCCAACAGCACCCCACAACATTCCGTTACCACTCAGGACACTCGCCTCGACACCATTCCCGCCACTGTTCACGATGCGACCCAACCTCACGGTTCGGTTGGTAACCTGCGCTCCGGACCTCCGCCTCGACAGTTCCCAAACCTCGGCACCAGGCCCGTCGCGCATCCCAATTTCCCACGTTACCGTTACCACCGTAGCTTCGCTATATATTCTTCGCTCAACCTTTCGCTCGATTGTATTCTTGCCTCGATAGTGCAATCCTCGCTCGCTCACTCAATTGCACTCGTACCATGCGGTAAGGAGTGCATAGTAATGCTTCATCTTTTACTATTGGTAACAGTATTGCCTTCCTATTACCTAACCATACGAAATTGCACTCGTAACATGCGGTAAGGAGGGTTTTGAGTTAGTCCCGTCTTTTGTGCTCGCGACGCCTTGTGCAATAAAGAGTTTCCTTATGAAATTGTTTTGTGGTGGCATTGGTATGTGATTGAATGTTTGGCGGGAAACAATTCTCCCTGCACGAGGAACTGCTCGGAAGCCTTGAATTGGCTTGCCCCAAGAAATGTTAATCTGCCCGTCTGAATCTCTAGCCGCGAGTTTTTGACATCGAGCGGCCATAGTAGAAGCTCCAACCGTCAAATAGATTTCAGTCTGATGCCCGCGTTATTCAGTAGACGACAACGGTCGAGTAGCGCAAAATTTTACGATATTCCTTCACAGACGTAACTGACGACAGCTTGCTGCTGGCTGCAGCAAAGCAGAAGCGGCAGACACACGCAAATTGGGCTGCAGGGATGAAATAGCTGCATTGGCCTAGTGTGGCTGTATTGTGAAGCCTTTGTATTTGGAAGGGTTTCAAATAGAGCCAAACAAGACACAATCCACAGCTCCCTAGTAAAAGCCATCCACAGCGTTAGTCCATCTCGATAATTATCCATGGGAAATTATACGCGCAGTCACAATTATGGCCGTATTATCACGTTTGGTCACGGGGTTATCACGGACAGTCACAGTACAGTACTTCGCTATCACGCATGATCACAGCGCTATCACGCTTGATCACTCCTCGCCCCGCAGGGTTATCACGTTTGGTCACTCGTTGAAACGCCCGCCAAAAAGTCGAAACTCTCAAATCTACTGTACAGATTCGGGTACTTTTATCTCGCGCGCGTTTTGTCTGTAGTGAAAAACGTGATGTGACTGTCGAGATATACTCGGTCCTTGTTAGGGACCGATGCAGTTTAATGCAGAGTCCGCAAACTATTGTCTGCAGTTATTATTAAAAATAAATAAACTGTACTAATTTGTTGCAAAAGTACCAAAGAAAACCATCAATTCTAAGAAACATCATATCTTATCAATCGATTGTGCGCCTGAGACTGAACTTGTTTTTAGCTTGTTAGCAATGTAGTGAATGAAGTGAACGCCAATAATAAAACTATTCGGAAGAACGGACATACCGTATGTCGAACTACCACAACACAATGTGTTAGACAGTATCAAACTATACAGGTTACAGTTATCAATTATTCACATCGGCATAAGCTTATATTACAAGATGCAATTACACTAAACATGTCCATCATAAATGGGTTTGATTAATTCTAAACAGTTAAATTACACATATCAACCAACGCAATTACGTGTCGTATATGCATTTCCCCGCCTGTAACGTTCAATGGTTTTCCATCTAATATAAGTCAATTGTATGGGTTTCCCACCAGCTAAAGCTATTGTCACTGTGCTAAACATAATTACAATGCTCTCACTGTTTAAATCATTCGACCAAAACCCATGTCTTTGGTTTATGGATGAAATGCACACCATAAACTAATTATATAATCGAAACTGCTACTGCATCGGTCCCTAACAAGGACCGAGTATATTTCGACAGTCACATCACGTTTTTCACTACAGACAAAACGCGCGCGAGATAAAAGTACCCGAATCTGTACAGTAGATTTGAGAGTTTCGACTTTTTGGCGGGCGTTTCAACGAGTGACCAAACGTGATAACCCTGCGGGGCGAGGAGTGATCAAGCGTGATAGCGCTGTGATCATGCGTGATAGCGAAGTACTGTACTGTGACTGTCCGTGATAACCTCGTGACCAAACGTGATAATACGGCCATAATTGTGACTGCGCGTATAATTTCCCATTATCCATCACGGAACTTCCATTCAATTCGATTTCTGGGTTAGTTACAGGGATAGTTCTTTCAAGTCAACCTTCCATAGTTCTGTTCAGCAAGCAGAGCGGAGGTAGTCTTTACTTGCGCCGATCCACTAGCCTTAAGTATACTCACGGTTTTCAGTTTCAGCCATGGCGACGAAAGTTTACGTGATGTAAGTATTGTTTGGCCATGGCGCCATCTACGATTCCTACACTTCCAGGGTGTAGCACCCGCTTCCCTTGCACCACTTCCACCAGCTTTATCGACTCACAGTTCGCCGCGGTTAAGACATAAGAACTCTGCCTCTTCTTTCCTGCAGTTTCTATTCCATGTACGGCCACGTGGCCGCATTAGCCGAGGAGATCAAGAAGGGAGCAGAGTCCGTGGAAGGGGTCGAAGTATCCATCTTTCAGGTCAGCTCACAACTATAAGACTATTCCATGTTAACCCATGTTTCAAGATGGACAATTGGGTGACTCACCAGAACGGTAGCACAACAAAAACGGGTGCCTTAGCTTTCGGGTGGAATGTTCGAGGGGTGCCAGAATAGAAGCGTATAGCATGGTTTCCTCGCGTGGTTTGTTGTATGGTCGGCCTTTTTGTTGAACGGTTCTGCATCTTCCATAGCAGAAGATGCAGCTTCCTAGCAGCTTCCTACTCGTTCTTCCTACGGTCTTGTGACGGAGGAATGGTGGTCGATGTGGCCATACTTCTATAATTCAGGCGCATGAAACCTTTCAGATACAAATACTTTTTTTTGCTGACACTAGTTCGCAATCCCATCTTGCAATGTGTTTCTGCGAACTCTCAAACACACACCACACGATTTCTTTACCTGTCGTCCCGTTGTGCTCTGCCTACAGGTTCCCGAGACTCTCTCCGAGGATGTTCTCGCAAAGATGAACGCTCCGCCGAACTCTCAGAAACCAATTTTTTTCTACATGAACTTCCCTTGTGCTTTACTTTCAGGTTCCCGAGACTCTCTCCGAGGACGTTCTCGCAAAGATGCACGCACCGCCGAAGCCGGACATTCCTTCAATTGACGTGCACAACCTTCCGGAAGCCGACTGCTTCCTCTTTGGCTTCCCCACCCGCTACGGCATGATGTCTGCTCAAATGAAGGCCTTTTTCGACGCGACCGGCAGCTTGTGGAGAACGCAAGCGCTGGCCGGCAAGCCTGCCGGTTTCTTCTTCAGCACGGGCTCGCAAGGAGGCGGCCAAGAGACCACTGCGTGAGTCCGAAATTGTGAATATGCATGCACCTGAATGATCTGCCGTCTTGCGTTTTTTTGTTGTTTTTTTTTGCGAATTGACGCATTGAGAAGCACTGCACAAGTGCGGTACCGTCTGCCACGACCTACCCCATCCCAGCCCCCTTCCCCCTCACCCCCCCTACCTCTCACTTCTCCCGCCTGCACGGAGGATGAGTGTCTGTGAAAATGGAATATATTAGCTGCAGTGCATTCCATGTAGCATCTCTCTGTGGTCTATGACATTGTTCCCACAGCAAATATGCAAGAATATTCATCCAATTTCTCCTACTCTTCCCTTACGCTCCCTCGCAGGCTGACTGCTGTGACGCAGCTGACGCATCACGGTATGCTCTTCGTTCCCATTGGCTACACCTATGGCGCCAACATGTTTGTTCTGGATGAGGTGAAGGGAGGGTCACCCTATGGAGCAGGCACTCTGGCAGGAGATGGTACTCGCCAGCCCACACAGATTGAGCTGGAGCAGGCATTCTATCAAGGCCAATACACTGCTAAGATCGCTAAGAAGCTGAAGAAGGGTTCTGAATAAAGTAGTGCAAGCTTGCGATCTCTCTTGTTACCTTAGCTTGTGTGTGCATGGGTGTTGCTTTTCCCTTTCTGCCAGCGGTATACCCTTTCTCCCCCAGTACATTCAGCATCACCATGGCTGTATGCCCTGAATCTGATCTCACAAAAGTCTAACATCTTTTTTGGCTTCCAAAAAAAACTATGAAATCTTTTTCTAAGCCACAAGTAACAACTGTACCAGGTCAACTTCCTCAAATCCACATGCTGACCGTTGTTTCCACAATGCCCTGCTACATCGTGTTTCCCGCCAATATCGTGTTCAGAGGGACAGGGAGCTCAGAAATTTGAAATCCGACTGGATGACGACCTCAGCGAAGTGGTTCAGATAGTATACAAAGCAATCACTTGGTGGAGCGACGATTTCCAGCAGCAAATGTGATTGGCGAAGACGTTTTTTCGCTCAAATCACCCGCTAGCAAAGCCACGGGAATGCCGTGCGTCTGGGGTCCCCAAATCAAAGGGTAATTACATTCTGGGTAACCAACATTGAGCCCGCTGACGTCAAAAGTCACCTACGTGGCTCGATGGTACCCGTCAGATCATGCGCGCCCCTTGGTGGTACCCATCTTCCCTCCGTGGTACCCATCTTCCCTGCGTGGTACCCATCAACTGTGCGCGAATTCCCTGACTGGTACCGCAACATTTCAACCGAGCTGTACACCGTACAACAAGGGTGTCAATGCGTTTTTCACTATATTGTCTTAACGTTTACAATCTCAATAGAGTCCGAAGCCCGAAGTGCCACATAATCGGGTCAAATTTTCAAGCGCATTACCTATAATAAAGTGTAGAAGAAAAGCTGAATTTAGGAAAACATTTATTGTGTAGATTTCTTTAGGCTCATAAACATCCACATTATAACGTGCTATAATTTAAATCACCACAGATATATTGCATCAACCGAAACACAAAAATTAACATCCGTGTAACAAACGATCAACCGACACGTAATATATATATTGACTTAAGGTTATTTGATTTTCATTAATGGGTATTGTTTTGTTTCCAGAAACCAACGAATGTACGTATTATTTGTTTATGCTGTTCTATTTAGCTGTGGGGGTACATGCTCAATTTATTTGCATACAACCTTATGAACTTTGTTCAGATTACCAACTGCGCGCTGAGAAACATGGTCGTAAGATTCACGCTACCTATCGCTCAGTGATGTGAGCTTACAAAGGTTCGGGGGTAACGTGAGGATTTTAGAAGGGGAGTTGATTTTTTCTAGGTTGCACTCTATCCAGTGTAAGGCACGTTCAAAGGTATTAATGTTCAAATGTATTAATGTTCAATTGCAGACAGAAAACGTTGGTATAATATAGTGAAAATCGCATTGAAACCCTTGTTGTACGGTGTACAGCTCGGTTGAAATGTTGCGGTACCAGTCAGGGAATTCACGCACAGTTGATGGGTACCACGCAGGGAAGATGGGTACCACGGAGGGAAGATGGGTACCACCAAGGGGTGCGCATGATCTGACGGGTACCATCGAGCCACGTAGGTGACTTTTGACGTCAGCGGGCTCGATGTTGGTTACCCAGAATGTAATTACCCCAAATCAAATCACCCCGCTAGCAAGGACCCTAGAGCCTCGAATCAAACGCAGGGTGCTTGCTGTCCGCCCTTCCGCCTTCTCATTCCGCACTCTCCCCGCGCGCATGCCAATTTCTTCCCCCATCTTCTGTCAACAAGAGTCGCCTGACCGTGGGGTGGGGACGGTGTGGGCAGTCGCTGTGACATCAGAGTCTGCGACTCTGCGCGTTCCTTGACCTTCGCCTCCTCGTTTTCCGCTTTTCTCTGGTTCTGTACTTTCCGCTCGCTCAGTTATCCCGCATTACCGCTTCAAAAAACAACACACCGACCGAAACCGCGGTGTACGAATGCACTCGGCAGCTCTGAGATTCAAGCCAGCAGCAACTCTGCACACTCCCCTGACCAGAGGAGTCTGTCAGAAGCAGCGCCAAACGGAAGTTGCTGTCTGAAAGCGTCCGCTTTTGTTCCCCAAGTTATTAGCTTCGACCCTAGGCCTCTGCGCGTCAGCTCGAGCCGGCCGCCTCGTTTGGCTCTCGCCGTCAAGTCTGTTAGGTCAAGCGCACTCCTTCGTGCGTCGTGTTTGTTTCCCTTCAGATCAGGATTTGCGACGAGATTTGATACCTGAAGCGACGAAATTTGCCGCCCATTCGCTCTTTCCCTCTAATTTTAGGCTCTGCTCGAGCCTTTCGAGTAGTCAACTTATTATTATCATCCGCCTTCTCCTATTCCATTCGTAGTTGTGGTGGCCACTCGTCGTTGTGATCGGATCGGATCATCCTTGGATTCAGTGGTCTTTTCACGTCATCCTTAAATACTGATTCGTCTCTTGCTTGGAGTTTTAGCTGAGTTCGCTGCACTAGCAGAGCGATTTGAAGATCTTCTTATCTCGGGACACGATTCCAGTTTGGCGAGAGTTAGCCTGGAAGACAAGTCCAACTGAACAGAGATACTTTTGAGTCGACTCGAAAGTCACCTCGAGAGTTAGCCCGGAAGACAAGTCCAACTGAACGGAGATACCAGCGAAAAAGGCCTTTAGTCGGGTAGTCGATTTCTTCGGACACAGCTGATTCGAGCTTGGAACGATGTGGGGAGCGGCAGGCCGAACGAATGCGCAGAAGATTCAGGTGCGATCAAACAGACTGTTTGTTGTTTTTGAGGCACCTTAAAAACGGGCTCGGAACGATGTCGGGAGCGGTCGTACGAATGCGCAGAAGATTCAGGTGCGATCAGACAGACTGTTCGTTGTCGCGTTTCTCGGGAGGTGACTTGCGAGTCGGCTCAAACGTCTGCGCGAATGCGCCGACGATTCCGTTGAATGCGGATCGTCCTTGAGAGCGCATCGCTGCACGCGTGAACTCGCCTCCAGAATGGGTACTGAAGCTTAACCGTCGGGGATTCGTTGTTAGATTTCAATAACGCTTGAATCCGTTTGTGCCCGCAGCCTTGGATCTTTGCCATCATCCAGAGGAAAGGTGTTCCGTCAGGAACCAATGGCTGCCTAGGACTCTGCTTGATACATAGATAGAACGTCCATGGATAGCTAAATCTTGGAATTAGTTATTAGAAGCACTGCTCTGTCCCCTCTTTTCCCCCACCCTCCCCTCCTCACATTTCCTTATCCTTCGCGTTCTCGCCCTCGGCCTCCTTCCGTGCACATTCCACCGCACCCTCCCCTTCCCCCTCCCCCCGCTAGACCATATTCAACAAGTTTGTGGGCGGCTCGGCGCGCAGCGATGGCGCTGTGGTGGACGAGGCTGCTTTTTCTGTTCTGCCTGCTTGTATTCAATTTCTCTTCCCCATTCCCCTTACCCTTCCCGCCCCTCCCCCACCCTCACCAGACGATGTTCAACAAGTTCGTGGGCGGCTCGGCCGGCGTGCAGCGATGGCGTTGTGGTGGACGAGGCTGCTTGTCTCTTCTGTCTGCAAGTATTTAACAAAATCCCTTCCCCTAACCCTTCCTCTCCCACCCACCCACCCACCCCCACCTCTCCCCTCCCCCCTGCCCCCTGCCCCCTGCCCCCACCGGACCATATTCAACAATTTCGGCGCGCAGTGATGGTATGGTGGTGGACGTGGCTGCTTCTCTTGTGCTGCTTGCTTGTGTTCGAATCTCCTTCACCTTTCGCAACGTCCCCTCCCCTTACCCCCCCTTTCCCCCCCTTTTCCCCCGCCCCCGCCAGACCATATTCAACAAGTTTGTGGGCGGCTCGGCGCGCAGCGATGGCGTGGTGGTGGACGAGGCGGAGCTGCAGCGGCACCAGCAGCTGGAGCGGCTCTACAACACGACAAAGTCTGCCAAGGTATAGATGGATGGGTGCGGTGCGGTTGAGTGAAAAGTGCAGGCAAGTGGGACAGTGCAGAGGAGTAGTAAAGTTCAGTTTAGGTGGACGAGGTGGAGCTGCAGCGGCACCAGCAGCTGGAGCTGCTGTACAACACGACCAAGTCAGCCAAGGTATAGATGGATGGGTGCAGTGCGGTTGAGTGAGAAGTGCAGGCAAGTGGGACGGTGCAGAGTGGGATAGAGCAGTTCAGGTGGACAAGGCGGAGCTGCAGCGGCACCAGCAGCTGGAGCGGCTGTACAACACCACCAAGTCCGCTAAGGTATGAACTGAGCTGTTTGTGTTCGCAGCTGTAACAGTTACTCGAGGTGACTCACAAGCTGCAGCGCCACCAGCAGCTGGAGCGGCTGTACAACACGACCAAGTCCGCCAAGGTAAGACTGCTCTGTCTGGGAAATTGGGCAGTGGGCAACTGAGTCGGGCGAAAACTGAGTCATACACTTGAGTGGGCAAGGCGGAGTTGCAGCGGCACCAGCAGTTAAAGCGGCTGTGCAACACCACCAAGTCCGCTAAGGTAGTGAGAGTGACAGTAACGGTGCCAAGTGGTAGTGAGGAGGGGGAGGACGTGTGGGTTGACTCACGAGTTGCAGCGGCACCAGCAGTTGAAACGGCTGTGCAACACCACCAAGTCCGCTAAGGTGGGTAGAAATCATAATAACGGTACAGCACCAGCAGGGGCATCAACAGCGGCAGCAGCAGCTGGAGCGGGGGTGGGCGTGTGGGAAATTGGGCTGTGGACAACCGAGTCGGACAAACCTGAGTGGACGGGGCGGAGTTGCAGTGGCACCAGCAGCTGGACTGGAATGACTGTACGCCACCAGTGGTGGGGAGAGGAGAGCAGCAGTGGCGTGGTGGTGGACGAGGCGGAGCTGTAGCGGCACCCCACCCTTACGCCTCCCCGTGCTCCTCCCCCCTCTCTATTTCCCCGTGTTGTGTTGCTTCCCCTTCCCCCTGTATCGCCCGCCCACCACAGCACGTCCAGTGCGAGGTGGTGTAGGGCATCGAGGGCATTATCAATGCGAATCTGAAGGCCCACTCCTTCCCTTCCCCCTCCGCCCCCCTTTACTTCTGGCTTTGTCCCGTGTATCGCCCGCCCACCACTGCACTTTCAACGCGAGGTGGTGAAGGGCATTGAAGTTATCATTAATGCGAATCTGAAGGCCCACTCCTTCCCGCCTCCTTTTTCTGGCCTTGTCCCCTGTATCGCCCGCCCACCACAGCACTTCCAGTGCGAGGTGGTGAAGGGCATCGAGCGCATCATCAATGCGAATCTGAAGGCCCACTCCTTCCCTTCCCCCTCCGCCCCCCTTTATTTCTGGCTTTGTCCCATGTATCGCCCGCCCACCACAGCATTTCCAGCGCGAGGTGGTGAAGGGCATTGAAGTTATCATCAATGCAAATCTGAAGGCCTCACTGCGACCCCCACCCGTCCGCCCAACTGTTCCCTCCCACGTGTTCCCCACTCATCTCCCGCCCACCGCAGCACTTTCAGCGAGAGATGGTGAAGGGCATCGAGGGCATTATCAATGCGAATCTGAAGCACATTGAATCCAGTAAGATGCATTGGGCGAGTAAGGCACATTGGGTTGAGTAAGGCTCTGGTGTACATTGGGTGAGTTAGCTGTGACAATGGCGTGAGAGCATGGCATGGTGCATGGGACATGGGTCATGGGGTGTGGTGCATGGGAATGTTACATGCTGTGCTTTTTTCTTATTCAGATGCTTCATCCATACCCGTTTTTTAATCTGTTTCTCGTTTCAGCTGCCAGATTGTCAGAAGCTATAATGGAACAATCACCAACTATTTTACACCCATTATTGTCCCGCCCGTTTCTGCTACGACCCTCTCTTCAGTTGCGAAGCTATCAGAAGAGTGCCGCAAGTACGGCGCGCCGGAGAGTCCGGGCGGCAGCACCGTGCTGGGCCGGGCGGCGCTGCATTTCGGGGCGGCACACTCGGCAATCGAGAAAGAGAGGGACAACATGGACAGGACCCTTGGAACACAGGTGCGATTGTAGTAAGCATGGCAATAGCGAGAAAGCGTTGTGCTTGGGCTGGCAGTGGGTGACAGTTGGAACACAGATGTCACTGTAGCGAGCATGACTAGAGTGAGAAACCGCTGTGATTGCACTTCTGCATCCAGTTTTAAGAATTCTCAAAGCTGGACTTCCATTGCGCCTGCATCCACTGTCCCTCCAATGATTGGGCTTTTGAGAGACGTCTCAAAAGTCGTCTGCCTGCATCCACTACCCCTCCAATGATGGTATCAGGTGGGCAACCCTCTCAAGCCCCTGGTCACGGGCGCGCATCTGGTGGATTGTTGGTCTGAGCCGGGTTGTTCTTTGTTGTGCTTGTAGCGACTGTGCCTGCATTGACTGACATCAGGTGGGCGACCCTCTCAAGCCCCTGGTCACGGGCGCGCCTCTGATGGATTGTTGGTCTGAGCCGGGTTGTTCTTTGTTGTGCTTGTAGCGACTGTGCCTGCATTGACTGACATCAGGTGGGCGACCCTCTCAAGCCCCTGGTCATGGGCGCGCCCCTGGTGGATTGTTGGTCTGAGCCGGGTTGTTCTTTGTTGTGCTTGTAGCGACTGTGCCTGCATTGACTGACATCAGGTGGGCGACCCTCTCAAGCCCCTGGTCACGGGCGCGCCTCTGGTGGATTGTTGGTCTGAGCTGGGTTGTTCTTTGTTGTGCTTGTAGCGACTGTGCCTGCATTGATTGACATCAGGTGGGAGACCCTCTCAAGGCCATGGTCACGGACGCGCCTCTGGAGGAGCCGTTGGGCTGAGATGTGACATAAATGATCTGTGCCTGTGTTCACTGTGCCTGTATCTATTGTGACTGTATCTATAAATGGGTCGCAGGTGGGAGACCCTCTCAAGGCCATTGTCACGGGCACGCCTCTGGAGGATGCTTGGCTGGGCTGGGCTGGGCTGATATTCATTGTGCCTGTACCCGCTGTGCCTATACCGAATGTGCTTGTATCGATGGATGAACCGCAGGTGGGCGATCCCCTTAAAGCCATGGTGACGGGCGCGCCTCTGGAGGATGCTCGCAGTCTCACCCACCGATACGACAAGCTGCGGCAGGAGGCGGAGGGGCTGGTGAGTGCATGAGAGGTGTTCAGAGGGGCTGGTGAGTGCAGGCTTTGGAAGGAAGTGTGCAACATGAAAACCGCCTCTGGAGGATGCTCGCAGCCTCACGCACCGATATGACAAGCTGCGGCAGGAGGCGGACGGGCTGGTGAGTGGGCGAGGGGCTGGTGAGTAGATGAGCAGGTGGGCAGACGGGGCAAATGGGATGCTCGCAGCCTCACCACCGCTATGACAAGCTGCGGCAGGAGGCGGACGGGCTGGTGAGTGGGCGAGGGGCTGGTGAGTGGGCGAGGGGCTGGTGAGTAGATGGGCAGGTGGGCAGACGGGGCAAATGGGATGCTCGCAGCCTCACCACCGCTATGACAAGCTGCGGCAGGAGGCGGAGGGGCTGGTGTGAGTGGGGGTGGACGGCGTTTAGAAGTGGATCCGAAGGCACGGGTCATCTCATTGCTCGTATCCCTCCCTCTCCTCCTGGTTGGGTCGACTTATAAGTCGCTTCCTTTTTCTCCCCCCTCACTCTCTTTCCCCACCACCAGGTGGTGGAGATTCAGAAGCGCAACCAGAAGGCACGGGACGGCCTCATATCATTATGATCTGCTCTCTCCTCTCACTCCGTCATCCCCTCCCTCTCCTCCCTCTTCCGCTCCCCGTCAACCAGGTGGTGGAAATTCAGAAGCGCAACCAGAAGGCACGGGACGGCCTCATTCCACTTGATCTGCTCTCTCCTCTAACTCCGTCATCCCCTTACTTTCCTCCCTCTTCCCCTCCCCGTCAACCAGGTGGTGGAAATTCAGAAGCGCAACCAGAAGGCCAGGGATGGCCTGAGCAACCCTGAGAACGCCGCCAAGCTGCAGGTGAGGGGTGCATGGTGGTGGTAACCCTGTTATTGTAACGAGGTGACTTTTGAGTCGACTCAAAAGTCACCTAGCTGCAGGTGAGGGGTGGATGGTGGTGGTAACCCTGTTATTGTAACGGGGCTGTGGCAACCATATGCAGGTGGGGGTTTACAAGGCACGGGACGGCCTGAGCAACCCTGAGAATGCCGCCAAGCTGCAGGTGAACGGGGAATGCATGGTGAGGGTTGCATGGTGAGGGGGGGTTGCATGGTGAGGGTTGCATGGTGAGGGGGGGTTGCATGGTGAGGGGGGGTTGCATGGTGAGGGTTGCATGGTGAGGGGGGTTGCATGGTGAGGGGGGTTGCATGGTGAGGAGTGCATGGTGAGGAGTGCATGGTGAGGAGTGCATGGTGAGGGTTGCGTCGTGGTAACTCTATTGCGGCTACAAAGGGTGGCCTGAGCAACCCTTGTTGAATCAAAAGCAAGCGGAGCAGAAGACGGGCGAGCTAGCAGCCACCATGACAGTGCTGGGGAGGGAGAGGCAGTGACTGGTGCTCATCTGATTGCTTTCTGTGTTCCCTTGCTCCCCAACTGGGGTTAACAAATAGAAAGCAGAGCAGAAGATGGGTGAGCTTGCAGCGACCATGACAGTGCTGGGGAGGGAGGCGGCAACAGCAATGATGCAGTGGAGGCAGCCTGATGGCTTTCTGTTCTCCCCTGATTGCTGTGTGTGCTCCTGTGGTGCTCCCCCTTGTTGAATCACCAGCAAGCAGAACAGAAGATGGGCGAACTTGCAGCGACCATGACAGTGCTGGGGAGGGAGGCGGCAACGGCGATGATGGCAGTGGAGGCACAGCAGCAGAGGCAGACGCTACAGCGGCTGATTGGCATGGTGAGAAATGTTTCCTCCTAGGGTGGTGGTTTCGGATGGATGCACTGGTGTGGTTATGGGGTGTTGCAGCAACGGCAATGATGGCCGTGGAGGCACAGCAGCAGAGGCAGACACTGCAGCGGCTGATTGGCATGGTGAGAAATGTTTCCTCCTAGGGTGGTGGTTTCGGATGGATGCACTGGTGTGGATATGGGGTGTTGCAGCAACGGCAATGATGGCCGTGGAGGCACAGCAGCAGAGGCAGACACTGCAGCGGCTGATTGGCATGGTGAGAAATGTTTCCTCCTAGGGTGGTGGTTTCGGATGGATGCACTGGTGTGGTTATGGGGTGTTGCAGCAACGGCAATGATGGCCGTGGAGGCTCAGCAGCAGAGGCAGACACTGCAGCGGCTGATTGGCATGGTGAGAAATGTTTCCTCCTAGGGTGGTGGTTTCGGATGGATGCACTGGTGTGGTTATGGGGTGTTGCAGCAACGGCAATGATGGCCGTGGAGGCTCAGCAGCAGTGGCAGACACTGCAGCGGCTGATTGGCATGGTGAGAAATGTTTCCTCCTAGGGTGGTGGTTTCGGATGGATGCACTGGTGTGGTTATGGGGTGTTGCAGCAACGGCAATGATGGCCGTGGAGGCTCAGCAGCAGTGGCAGACACTGCAGCGGCTGATTGGCATGGTGAGAAATGTTTTCTCCTAGGGTGGTGGTTTCGGATGGATGCACTGGTGTGGTTATGGGGTGTTGCAGCAACGGCAATGATGGCCGTGGAGGCTCAGCAGCAGTGGCAGACACTGCAGCGGCTGATTGGCATGGTGAGAAATGTTTCCTCCTAGGGTGGTGGTTTCGGATGGATGCACTGGTGTGGTTATGGGGTGTTGCAGCAACGGCAATGATGGCCGTGGAGGCACAGCAGCAGAGGCAGACACTGCAGCGGCTGATTGGCATGGTGAGAAATGTTTCCTCCTAGGGTGGTGGTTTCGGATGGATGCACTGGTGTGGTTATGGGGTGTTGCAGCAACGGCAATGATGGCCGTGGAGGCTCAGCAGCAGTGGCAGACACTGCAGCGGCTGATTGGCATGGTGAGAAATGTTTCCTCCTAGGGTGGTGGTTTCGGATGGATGCACTGGTGTGGTTATGGGGTGTTGCAGCAACGGCAATGATGGCCGTGGAGGCTCAGCAGCAGTGGCAGACACTGCAGCGGCTGATTGGCATGGTGAGAATGTTTCCTCCTACGGTGGTGGTTTCGGATGGATGCACTGGTGTGGTTATGGGGTGTTGCAGCAACGGCAATGATGGCCGTGGAGGCTCAGCAGCAGTGGCAGACACTGCAGCGGCTGATTGGCATGGTGAGAAATGTTTCCTCCTAGGGTGGTGGTTTCGGATGGATGCACTGGTGTGGTTATGGGGTGTTGCAGCAACGGCAATGATGGCCGTGGAGGCTCAGCAGCAGTGGCAGACACTGCAGCGGCTGATTGGCATGGTGAGAAATGTTTCCTCCTAGGGTGGTGGTTTCGGATGGATGCACTGGTGTGGTTATGGGGTGTTGCAGCAACGGCAATGATGGCCGTGGAGGCTCAGCAGCAGTGGCAGACACTGCAGCGGCTGATTGGCATGGTGAGAAATGTTTCCTCCTAGGGTGGTGGTTTCGGATGGATGCACTGGTGTGGTTATGGGGTGTTGCAGCAACGGCAATGATGGCCGTGGAGGCTCAGCAGCAGTGGCAGACACTGCAGCGGCTGATTGGCATGGTGAGAAATGTTTCCTCCTAGGGTGGTGGTTTCGGATGGATGCACTGGTGTGGTTATGGGGTGTTGCAGCAACGGCAATGATGGCCGTGGAGGCTCAGCAGCAGTGGCAGACACTGCAGCGGCTGATTGGCATGGTGAGAAATGTTTCCTCCTAGGGTGGTGGTTTCGGATGGATGCACTGGTGTGGTTATGGGGTGTTGCAGCAACGGCAATGATGGCCGTGGAGGCTCAGCAGCAGAGGCAGACACTGCAGCGGCTGATTGGCATGGTGAGAAATGTTTCCTCCTAGGGTGGTGGTTTCGGATGGATGCACTGGTGTGGTTATGGGGTGTTGCAGCAACGGCAATGATGGCCGTGGAGGCACAGCAGCAGAGGCAGACACTGCAGCGGCTGATTGGCATGGTGAGAAATGTTTCCTCCTAGGGTGGTGGTTTCGGATGGATGCACTGGTGTGGTTATGGGGTGTTGCAGCAACGGCAATGATGGCCGTGGAGGCTCAGCAGCAGTGGCAGACACTGCAGCGGCTGATTGGCATGGTGAGAAATGTTTCCTCCTAGGGTGGTGGTTTCGGATGGATGCACTGGTGTGGTTATGGGGTGTTGCAGCAACGGCAATGATGGCCGTGGAGGCTCAGCAGCAGTGGCAGACACTGCAGCGGCTGATTGGCATGGTGAGAAATGTTTCCTCCTAGGGTGGTGGTTTCGGATGGATGCACTGGTGTGGTTATGGGGTGTTGCAGCAACGGCAATGATGGCCGTGGAGGCTCAGCAGCAGTGGCAGACACTGCAGCGGCTGATTGGCATGGTGAGAAATGTTTCCTCCTAGGGTGGTGGTTTCGGATGGATGCACTGGTGTGGTTATGGGGTGTTGCAGCAACGGCAATGATGGCCGTGGAGGCTCAGCAGCAGAGGCAGACACTGCAGCGGCTGATTGGCATGATGAGAAATGTTTCCTCCTAGGGTGGTGGTTTCGGATGGATGCACTGGTGTGGTTATGGGGTGTTGCAGCAACGGCAATGATGGCCGTGGATGCACAGCAGCAGAGGCAGACACTGCAGCGGCTGATTGGCATGGTGAGAAATGTTTCCTCCTAGGGTGGTGGTTTCGGATGGATGCACTGGTGTGGTTATGGGGTGTTGCAGCAACGGCAATGATGGCCGTGGAGGCACAGCAGCAGAGGCAGACACTGCAGCGGCTGATTGGCATGGTGAGAAATGTTTCCTCCTAGGGTGGTGGTTTCGGATGGATGCACTGGTGTGGTTATGGGGTGTTGCAGCAACGGCAATGATGGCCGTGGAGGCTCAGCAGCAGTGGCAGACACTGCAGCGGCTGATTGGCATGGTGAGAAATGTTTTCTCCTAGGGTGGTGGTTTCGGATGGATGCACTGGTGTGGTTATGGGGTGTTGCAGCAACGGCAATGATGGCCGTGGAGGCTCAGCAGCAGTGGCAGACACTGCAGCGGCTGATTGGCATGGTGAGAAATGTTTCCTCCTAGGGTGGTGGTTTCGGATGGATGCACTGGTGTGGTTATGGGGTGTTGCAGCAACGGCAATGATGGCCGTGGAGGCACAGCAGCAGAGGCAGACACTGCAGCGGCTGATTGGCATGGTGAGAAATGTTTCCTCCTAGGGTGGTGGTTTCGGATGGATGCACTGGTGTGGTTATGGGGTGTTGCAGCAACGGCAATGATGGCCGTGGAGGCTCAGCAGCAGAGGCAGACACTGCAGCGGCTGATTGGCATGGTGAGAAATGTTTCCTCCTAGGGTGGTGGTTTCGGATGGATGCACTGGTGTGGTTATGGGGTGTTGCAGCAACGGCAATGATGGCCGTGGAGGCTCAGCAGCAGTGGCAGACACTGCAGCGGCTGATTGGCATGGTGAGAAATGTTTCCTCCTAGGGTGGTGGTTTCGGATGGATGCACTGGTGTGGTTATGGGGTGTTGCAGCAACGGCAATGATGGCCGTGGAGGCTCAGCAGCAGTGGCAGACACTGCAGCGGCTGATTGGCATGGTGAGAAATGTTTCCTCCTAGGGTGGTGGTTTCGGATGGATGCACTGGTGTGGTTATGGGGTGTTGCAGCAACGGCAATGATGGCCGTGGAGGCTCAGCAGCAGTGGCAGACACTGCAGCGGCTGATTGGCATGGTGAGAAATGTTTCCTCCTAGGGTGGTGGTTTCGGATGGATGCACTGGTGTGGTTATGGGGTGTTGCAGCAACGGCAATGATGGCCGTGGAGGCTCAGCAGCAGTGGCAGACACTGCAGCGGCTGATTGGCATGGTGAGAAATGTTTCCTCCTAGGGTGGTGGTTTCGGATGGATGCACTGGTGTGGTTATGGGGTGTTGCAGCAACGGCAATGATGGCCGTGGAGGCTCAGCAGCAGAGGCAGACACTGCAGCGGCTGATTGGCATGGTGAGAAATGTTTCCTCCTAGGGTGGTGGTTTCGGATGGATGCACTGGTGTGGTTATGGGGTGTTGCAGCAACGGCAATGATGGCCGTGGATGCACAGCAGCAGAGGCAGACACTGCAGCGGCTGATTGGCATGGTGAGAAATGTTTCCTCCTAGGGTGGTGGTTTCGGATGGATGCACTGGTGTGGTTATGGGGTGTTGCAGCAACGGCAATGATGGCCGTGGAGGCACAGCAGCAGAGGCAGACACTGCAGCGGCTGATTGGCATGGTGAGAAATGTTTCCTCCTAGGGTGGTGGTTTCGGATGGATGCACTGGTGTGGTTATGGGGTGTTGCAGCAACGGCAATGATGGCCGTGGAGGCTCAGCAGCAGTGGCAGACACTGCAGCGGCTGATTGGCATGGTGAGAAATGTTTTCTCCTAGGGTGGTGGTTTCGGATGGATGCACTGGTGTGGTTATGGGGTGTTGCAGCAACGGCAATGATGGCCGTGGAGGCTCAGCAGCAGTGGCAGACACTGCAGCGGCTGATTGGCATGGTGAGAAATGTTTCCTCCTAGGGTGGTGGTTTCGGATGGATGCACTGGTGTGGTTATGGGGTGTTGCAGCAACGGCAATGATGGCCGTGGAGGCACAGCAGCAGAGGCAGACACTGCAGCGGCTGATTGGCATGGTGAGAAATGTTTCCTCCTAGGGTGGTGGTTTCGGATGGATGCACTGGTGTGGTTATGGGGTGTTGCAGCAACGGCAATGATGGCCGTGGAGGCTCAGCAGCAGTGGCAGACACTGCAGCGGCTGATTGGCATGGTGAGAAATGTTTCCTCCTAGGGTGGTGGTTTCGGATGGATGCACTGGTGTGGTTATGGGGTGTTGCAGCAACGGCAATGATGGCCGTGGAGGCTCAGCAGCAGTGGCAGACACTGCAGCGGCTGATTGGCATGGTGAGAATGTTTCCTCCTAGGGTGGTGGTTTCGGATGGATGCACTGGTGTGGTTATGGGGTGTTGCAGCAACGGCAATGATGGCCGTGGAGGCTCAGCAGCAGTGGCAGACACTGCAGCGGCTGATTGGCATGGTGAGAAATGTTTCCTCCTAGGGTGGTGGTTTCGGATGGATGCACTGGTGTGGTTATGGGGTGTTGCAGCAACGGCAATGATGGCCGTGGAGGCTCAGCAGCAGTGGCAGACACTGCAGCGGCTGATTGGCATGGTGAGAAATGTTTCCTCCTAGGGTGGTGGTTTCGGATGGATGCACTGGTGTGGTTATGGGGTGTTGCAGCAACGGCAATGATGGCCGTGGAGGCTCAGCAGCAGTGGCAGACACTGCAGCGGCTGATTGGCATGGTGAGAAATGTTTCCTCCTAGGGTGGTGGTTTCGGATGGATGCACTGGTGTGGTTATGGGGTGTTGCAGCAACGGCAATGATGGCCGTGGAGGCTCAGCAGCAGTGGCAGACACTGCAGCGGCTGATTGGCATGGTGAGAAATGTTTCCTCCTAGGGTGGTGGTTTCGGATGGATGCACTGGTGTGGTTATGGGGTGTTGCAGCAACGGCAATGATGGCCGTGGAGGCTCAGCAGCAGTGGCAGACACTGCAGCGGCTGATTGGCATGGTGAGAAATGTTTCCTCCTAGGGTGGTGGTTTCGGATGGATGCACTGGTGTGGTTATGGGGTGTTGCAGCAACGGCAATGATGGCCGTGGAGGCTCAGCAGCAGTGGCAGACACTGCAGCGGCTGATTGGCATGGTGAGAAATGTTTCCTCCTAGGGTGGTGGTTTCGGATGGATGCACTGGTGTGGTTATGGGGTGTTGCAGCAACGGCAATGATGGCCGTGGAGGCTCAGCAGCAGAGGCAGACACTGCAGCGGCTGATTGGCATGGTGAGAAATGTTTCCTCCTAGGGTGGTGGTTTCGGATGGATGCACTGGTGTGGTTATGGGGTGTTGCAGCAACGGCAATGATGGCCGTGGAGGCTCAGCAGCAGTGGCAGACACTGCAGCGGCTGATTGGCATGGTGAGAAATGTTTCCTCCTAGGGTGGTGGTTTCGGATGGATGCACTGGTGTGGTTATGGGGTGTTGCAGCAACGGCAATGATGGCCGTGGAGGCTCAGCAGCAGTGGCAGACACTGCAGCGGCTGATTGGCATGGTGAGAAATGTTTCCTCCTAGGGTGGTGGTTTCGGATGGATGCACTGGTGTGGTTATGGGGTGTTGCAGCAACGGCAATGATGGCCGTGGAGGCTCAGCAGCAGTGGCAGACACTGCAGCGGCTGATTGGCATGGTGAGAAATGTTTCCTCCTAGGGTGGTGGTTTCGGATGGATGCACTGGTGTGGTTATGGGGTGTTGCAGCAACGGCAATGATGGCCGTGGAGGCTCAGCAGCAGAGGCAGACACTGCAGCGGCTGATTGGCATGGTGAGAAACGTTTCCTCCTAGGGTGGTGGTTTCGGATGGATGCACTGGTGTGGTTATGGGGTGTTGCAGCAACGGCAATGATGGCCGTGGAGGCTCAGCAGCAGTGGCAGACACTGCAGTAACTGATTGGCATGGTGAGTGGTGCACTGTGAAGGAGTATGTGGAACATACTCCTGCTCTGTGCGTAAGTATGCTCTGTGCGTAAGTATGCTCTGGAAAATGCACCTACTCCCTAGCGATGATGGCAGTGGATGCACAACAGCAGCGGCAGACACTGCAGCGACTGATTGGGATGGTGGGGAGAGGCAGACACTCTATGCTGCACTGTTGTCCTCCCCCGTCTCCTCCCTTGTTTCCCCAACCAGGTGGAGGCAGAGAGGGCTTTTCACCAGCGGTCAGTGGAAGTCCTGAACCAGCTGCACTCACAGATGGTGGGGGAGAGGCAGAAGAACGATCACAGTGGGAACAGCAGCGCTGCTGCTGCAGCTCCCACCCCTGCTGGTCCAGGCAGCACCAACCCGTTTGCAGGCTCGGCCGAGCCTCCGCCGCCGAGCTACGAGGAGGTTCGGGGAGGGGGAGGGCCGACCGGCGGCGGATCGAACCGGGCGGGTTATTTTCTTGCAGAGGTGGGTGCGGGGGAGGGGAGGTGGGTGCTGGGAAGATGGGCTGGGAGGAGGTGCTACTGGGGAAGGTTTTTTGGTCGGGGAGGCCAGAGCCGAGTCGGACAGAGCGGGATACTTCCTTGCCCAGGTGGGTTGGGGGGAGGTGGGATTGGGGGTGGGTTGGGGGGAGGTGCTACTGTGGGAAGGTTGATGGGCAGGTGCAACTGGGGAAGGTTTGGGAGGGCCGGCTGGAGGTGGGTCGGACTGAGCGGGGGTTGGGGGTAGGTGGGTTGGGGGGAGGTGGGTTGGGGGGAGGTGGGTAGAGGGGAGGTGGGTTGGGGGGAGGTGGGTAGAGGGGAGGTGCTACTGGGGAAGGTTGGGTTGGAGGCGGATCGAACCGAGCGGGGTATTTCCTTGCTGAGGTAGGTGCAGGGTGAGGTGGGTGTGGAGGAGGTGGGTTGGGAGGTGTTACTGTGGGAGGTGCTACTGGGGAAGGATTGGGAGGGGGAGGGCCAGCAGGAGGCGGGTCGAACCGAGCGGGGTACTGTCTTGCTGAGGTGGGTGTGGGGGAGGTACAATTGAGGGAGGTGGATGTGGGGGGAGGTACAATTGGGGGAGGTGGATGTGGGAGTGCTAATGGGAAAGGTTTGGGAGGGGGAGGATCGACTGGTGGCGGGTCGAACCGAGCTGGGTACTTCCTGGCAGAGGTGGGTGATGGGGAGGGGAGGTGGATGTGGAGGAGGGTGGTGGGTGTGGGGGAGGTGGGTGGGGGGGAGGGGAGGTGGGATTGGGGAAGATGGATTGGGAGGAGGTGCTACTGGGGAAGGTTTTGGGTGGGGGAGGCCAGAGCCGAGTCGAGCCGAGTGGGGTACTTCCTTGCTCAGGTGGGTGGGGGGGAGGTGGGTGTGGAGGAGGGTGGTGGGTGTGGGGGAGGTGGGTGGTGGGGAGGTCTAACTTTTGAAATTCCCCAATAATAGGGTGCCTCAATTGGGCGTGGGGGGAAGTGTGACTGGGAAAGGTGGGTGTGGGTGTTGGGGAAGAGGCTGGGAAAGGTGAGTGCGGGGGATGTGGGTATGGGGGAGGAGGGTGGGGAAAGTGGGTGTGGGGTAGGAGGCTGGGGGATGTGTATGTGGGGGAGCTGGGTGGGGGGGAAATGGGGAGGTGCAACTGGGAAAGGTGGTGTCAGGGGAAGGTTCCAAAAATCAGCAGCCCATGCATTGACAGTCACGTTTTGAGACGTCTCGTTTTGAGACTATCAGCAGCCCATGCATTGACAGTCACTGATTTCGCACAAGTGCCACTCTCTCCCTGCTCTCCATCACCTTCCCACCAGGTGTGGTGCGTGCAGTCAAATTGGACACTCAGGGGGACGTTTGGGGTTGTAAATTGATGACCACGTGATTTCAAATAACCCTGTTTCTTCTCCTGTCTTGCTCTTCCCTGCCTTGCCCTGCCCGCCTCTACCTTGCTCTGCCTTGCCCTGCCCGCCATCTCGCAGATGGTGCATTCGAGGCGGAGGGTCCTGGGGAGAGATGCACCACGTGTTAACTGCCTTCCCTCTCTGCCCTTCCCTCTATGCCCTTCCCTCTCTGCCCTTCCCTCTCTGCCCTTCCCTCTCTGCCCTTCCCTCTCTGCCCTTCCCTCTCTGCCCTTCCCTCTCTGCCCTTCCCTCTCTGCCCTTCCCTCTATGCCCTTCCCTCTCTGCCCTTCCCTCTCTGCCCTTCCCTCTCTGCCCTTCCCTCTCTGCCCTTCCCTCTCTGCCCTTCCCTCTCTGCCCTTCCCTCTCTGCCCTTCCCTCTCTGCCCTTCCCTCTATGCCCTTCCCTCTCTGCCCTTCCCTCTCTGCCCTTCCCTCTCTGCCCTTCCCACTATGCCCTTCCCTCTCTGCCCTTCCCTCTCTGCCCTTCCCTCTATGCCCTTCCCTCTCTGCCCTTCCCTCTCTGCCCTTCCCTCTCTGCCCTTCCCTCTCTGCCCTTCCCACTATGCCCTTCCCTCTCTGCCCTTCCCACTATGCCCTTCCCTCTATGCCCTTCCCTCTCTGCCCTTCCCTCTCTGCCCTTCCCTCTCTGCCCTTCCCTCTCTGCCCTTCCCTCTCTGCCCTTCCCTCTCTGCCCTTCCCTCTCTGCCCTTCCCTCTCTGCCCTTCCCTCTCTGCCCTTCCCTCTCTGCCCTTCCCTCTCTGCCCTTCCCTCTCTGCCCTTCCCTCTCTGCCCTTCCCTCTCTGCCCTTCCCACTATGCCCTTCCCTCTCTGCCCTTCCCACTATGCCCTTCCCTCTCTGCCCTTCCCTCTCTGCCCTTCCCTCTCTGCCCTTCCCTCTCTGCCCTTCCCTCTCTGCCCTTCCCTCTCTGCCCTTCCCTCTCTGCCCTTCCCTCTCTGCCCTTCCCTCTATGCCCTTCCCTCTCTGCCCTTCCCTCTCTGCCCTTCCCTCTCTGCCCTTCCCACTATGCCCTTCCCTCTCTGCCCTTCCCTCTCTGCCCTTCCCTCTATGCCCTTCCCTCTCTGCCCTTCCCTCTCTGCCCTTCCCTCTCTGCCCTTCCCTCTCTGCCCTTCCCACTATGCCCTTCCCTCTCTGCCCTTCCCACTATGCCCTTCCCTCTATGCCCTTCCCTCTCTGCCCTTCCCTCTCTGCCCTTCCCTCTCTGCCCTTCCCTCTCTGCCCTTCCCTCTCTGCCCTTCCCTCTCTGCCCTTCCCTCTCTGCCCTTCCCTCTCTGCCCTTCCCTCTCTGCCCTTCCCTCTCTGCCCTTCCCTCTATGCCCTTCCCTCTCTGCCCTTCCCTCTCTGCCCTTCCCTCTCTGCCCTTCCCTCTCTGCCCTTCCCTCTCTGCCCTTCCCTCTCTGCCCTTCCCTCTCTGCCCTTCCCTCTCTGCCCTTCCCTCTCTGCCCTTCCCTCTCTGCCCTTCCCTCTCTGCCCTTCCCTCTCTGCCCTTCCCTCTCTGCCCTTCCCTCTCTGCCCTTCCCTCTCTGCCCTTCCCTCTCTGCCCTTCCCTCTCTGCCCTTCCCTCTCTGCCCTTCCCTCTCTGCCCTTCCCACTATGCCCTTCCCTCTCTGCCCTTCCCACTATGCCCTTCCCTCTCTGCCCTTCCCTCTCTGCCCTTCCCTCTCTGCCCTTCCCTCTCTGCCCTTCCCTCTCTGCCCTTCCCTCTCTGCCCTTCCCTCTCTGCCCTTCCCTCTCTGCCCTTCCCTCTCTGCCCTTCCCTCTCTGCCCTTCCCTCTCTGCCCTTCCCTCTCTGCCCTTCCCTCTCTGCCCTTCCCTCTCTGCCCTTCCCTCTCTGCCCTTCCCTCTCTGCCCTTCCCTCTCTGCCCTTCCCTCTCTGCCCTTCCCTCTCTGCCCTTCCCTCTCTGCCCTTCCCTCTCTGCCCTTCCCTCTCTGCCCTTCCCTCTCTGCCCTTCCCTCTCTGCCCTTCCCTCTCTGCCCTTCCCTCTCTGCCCTTCCCTCTCTGCCCTTCCCTCTCTGCCCTTCCCTCTCTGCCCTTCCCTCTCTGCCCTCTCTGCCCTTCCCTCTCTGCCCTTCCCTCTCTGCCCTTCCCTCTCTGCCCTTCCCTCTCTGCCCTTCCCTCTCTGCCCTTCCCTCTCTGCCCTTCCCTCTCTGCCCTTCCCTCTCTGCCCTTCCCTCTCTGCCCTTCCCTCTCTGCCCTTCCCTCTCTGCTCTTCCCTCTCTGCCCTTCCCTCTCTGCCCTTCCCTCTCTGCCCTTCCCTCTCTGCCCTTCCCTCTATGCCCTTCCCTCTCTGCCCTTCCCTCTCTGCCCTTCCCTCTCTGCCCTTCCCTCTCTGCCCTTCCCTCTCTGCCCTTTCCCTCTCTGCCCTTCCCTCTCTGCCCTTCCCTCTCTGCCCTTCCCTCTATGCCCTTCCCTCTCTGCCCTTCCCTCTCTGCCCTTCCCTCTCTGCCCTTCCCACTATGCCCTTCCCTCTCTGCCCTTCCCTCTCTGCCCTTCCCTCTATGCCCTTCCCTCTCTGCCCTTCCCTCTCTGCCCTTCCCTCTCTGCCCTTCCCTCTCTGCCCTTCCCACTATGCCCTTCCCTCTCTGCCCTTCCCACTATGCCCTTCCCTCTATGCCCTTCCCTCTCTGCCTTCCCTCTCTGCCCTTCCCTCTCTGCCCTTCCCTCTCTGCCTCCCTCTGCCCTTCCTCTCTGCCCTTCCCTCTCTGCCCTTCCCTCTCTGCCCTTCCCTCTCTGCCCTTCCCTCTCTGCCCTTCCCTCTCTGCCCTTCCCTCTCTGCCCTTCCCTCTCTGCCCTTCCCTCTCTGCCCTTCCCTCTCTGCCCTTCCCTCTCTGCCCTTCCCTCTCTGCCCTTCCCACTATGCCCTTCCCTCTCTGCCCTTCCCACTATGCCCTTCCCTCTCTGCCCTTCCCTCTCTGCCCTTCCCTCTCTGCCCTTCCCTCTCTGCCCTTCCCTCTCTGCCTTCCCTCTCTGCCCTTCCCTCTCTGCCCTTCCCTCTCTGCCCTTCCCTCTCTGCCCTTCCCTCTCTGCCCTTCCCTCTCTGCCCTTCCCTCTCTGCCCTTCCCTCTCTGCCCTTCCCTCTCTGCCCTTCCCTCTCTGCCCTTCCCTCTCTGCCCTTCCCTCTCTGCCCTTCCCTCTCTGCCCTTCCCTCTCTGCCCTTCCCTCTCTGCCCTTCCCTCTCTGCCCTTCCCTCTCTGCCCTTCCCTCTCTGCCCTTCCCTCTCTGCCCTTCCCTCTCTGCCCTTCCCTCTCTGCCCTTCCCTCTCTGCCCTTCCCTCTCTGCCCTTCCCTCTCTGCCCTTCCCTCTCTGCCCTTCCCTCTCTGCCCTTCCCTCTCTGCCCTTCCCTCTCTGCCCTTCCCTCTCTGCCCTTCCCTCTCTGCCCTTCCCTCTCTGCCCTTCCCTCTCTGCCCTTCCCTCTCTGCCCTTCCCTCTCTGCCCTTCCCTCTCTGCCCTTCCCTCTCTGCCCTTCCCTCTCTGCCCTTCCCTCTCTGCCCTTCCCTCTCTGCCCTTCCCTCTCTGCCCTTCCCTCTCTGCCCTTCCCTCTCTGCCCTTCCCTCTCTGCCCTTCCCTCTCTGCCCTTCCCTCTCTGCCCTTCCCTCTCTGCCCTTCCCTCTCTGCCCTTCCTCTCTGCCCTTCCCTCTCTGCCCTTCCCTCTCTGCCCTTCCCTCTCTGCCCTTCCCTCTCTGCCCTTCCCTCTCTGCCCTTCCCTCTCTGCCCTTCCCTCTCTGCCCTTCCCTCTCTGCCCTTCCCTCTATGCCCTTCCCTCTCTGCCCTTCCCTCTCTGCCCTTCCCTCTCTGCCCTTCCCTCTCTGCCCTTCCCTCTCTGCCCTTCCCTCTCTGCCCTTTCCCTCTCTGCCCTTCCCTCTCTGCCCTTCCCTCTCTGCCCTTCCCTCTATGCCCTTCCCTCTCTGCCCTTCCCTCTCTGCCCTTCCCTCTCTGGCCTTCCCTCTCTGCCCTTCCCTCTCTGCCCTTCGCTCTCCAACCTTCCCTCTCTGCCCTTTGCTCTCTGCCCTTCGCTCTCTGCCCTTCGCTCTCTGCCCTTCCCTCTCTGCCCTTCCCACTATGCCCTTCCCTCTCTGCCCTTCCCTCTCTGCCCTTCCCTCTCTGCCCTTCCCTCTCCGACCTTCCCTCTCCGACCTTCCCTCTCCGACCTTCGCTCTCTGCCCTTCGCTCTCTGCCCTTCTCTCTCTGCCCTTCCCTCTCTGCCCTTCCCTCTCTGCCCTTCCCTCTCTGCCCTTCCCTCTCTGCCCTTCCCTCTCTGCCCTTCCCTCTCTGCCCTTCCCTCTCTGCCCTTCCCTCTCTGCCCTTCCCTCTCTGCCCTTCCCTCTCTGCCCTTCCCTCTCTGCCCTTCCCTCTCTGCCCTTCCCTCTCTGCCCTTCCCTCTCTGCCCTTCCCTCTCTGCCCTTCCCTCTCTGCCCTTCCCTCTCTGCCCTTCCCTCTCTGCCCTTCCCTCTCTGCCCTTCCCTCTCTGCCCTTCCCTCTCTGCCCTTCCCTCTCTGCCCTTCCCACTATGCCCTTCCCTCTCTGCCCTTCCCACTATGCCCTTCCCTCTCTGCCCTTCCCTCTCCTTCCCTCTCTGCCCTTCCCTCTCTGCCCTTCCCTCTCTGCCCTTCCCTCTCTGCCCTTCCCTCTCTGCCCTTCCCTCTCTGCCCTTCCCTCTCTGCCCTTCCCTCTCTGCCCTTCCCTCTCTGCCCTTCCCTCTCTGCCCTTCCCTCTCTGCCCTTCCCTCTCTGCCCTTCCCTCTCTGCCCTTCCCTCTCTGCCCTTCCCTCTCTGCCCTTCCCTCTCTGCCCTTCCCTCTCTGCCCTTCCCTCTCTGCCCTTCCCTCTCTGCCCTTCCCTCTCTGCTCTTCCCTCTCTGCCCTTCCCTCTCTGCCCTTCCCTCTCTGCCCTTCCCTCTCTGCCCTTCCCTCTATGCCCTTCCCTCTCTGCCCTTCCCTCTCTGCCCTTCCCTCTCTGCCCTTCCCTCTCTGCCCTTCCCTCTCTGCCCTTCCCTCTCTGCCCTTCCCTCTCTGCCCTTCCCTCTCTGCCCTTCCCTCTATGCCCTTCCCTCTCTGCCCTTCCCTCTCTGCCCTTCCCTCTCTGCCCTTCCCTCTCTGCCCTTCCCTCTCTGCCCTTCCCTCTCTGCCCTTCCCTCTCTGCCCTTCCCTCCTCCATGCCCTTCCCTCTCTGCCCTTCCCTCTCTGCCCTTCCCTCTCTGCCCTTCCCACTATGCCCTTCCCTCTGTGCCCTTCCCTCTCTGCCCTTCCCTCTCTGCCCTTCCCTCTCTGCCCTTCCCTCTCTGCCCTTCCCTCTCTGCCCTTCCCTCTCTGCCCTTCCCTCTCTGCCCTTCCCTCTCTGCCCTTCCCTCTCTGCCCTTCCCTCTCTGCCCTTCCCTCTCTGCCCTTCCCTCTCTGCCCTTCCCTCTCTGCCCTTCCCTCTCTGCCCTTCCCTCTCTGCCCTTCCCTCTCTGCCCTTCCCTCTCTGCCCTTCCCTCTCTGCCCTTCCCTCTCTGCCCTTCCCTCTCTGCCCTTCCCTCTCTGCCCTTCCCTCTCTGCCCTTCCCTCTCTGCCCTTCCCTCTCTGCCCTTCCCTCTCTGCCCTTCCCTCTCTGCCCTTCCCTCTCTGCCCTTCCCTCTCTGCCCTTCCCTCTCTGCCCTTCCCTCTATGCCCTTCCCTCTCTGCCCTTCCCTCTCTGCCCTTCCCTCTCTGCCCTTCCCTCTCTGCCCTTCCCTCTCTGCCCTTCCCTCTCTGCCCTTTCCCTCTCTGCCCTTCCCTCTCTGCCCTTCCCTCTCTGCCCTTCCCTCTATGCCCTTCCCTCTCTGCCCTTCCCTCTCTGCCCTTCCCTCTCTGGCCTTCCCTCTCTGCCCTTCCCTCTCTGCCCTTCGCTCTCCAACCTTCCCTCTCTGCCCTTTGCTGTCTGCCCTTCGCTCTCTGCCCTTCGCTCTCTGCCCTTCCCTCTCTGCCCTTCCCACTATGCCCTTCCCTCTCTGCCCTTCCCTCTCTGCCCTTCCCTCTCTGCCCTTCCCTCTCCGACCTTCCCTCTCCGACCTTCCCTCTCCGACCTTCGCTCTCTGCCCTTCGCTCTCTGCCCTTCTCTCTCTGCCCTTCCCTCTCTGCCCTTCCCTCTCTGCCCTTCCCTCTCTGCCCTTCCCTCTCTGCCCTTCCCTCTCTGCCCTTCCCTCTCTGCCCTTCCCTCTCTGCCCTTCCCTCTCTGCCCTTCCCTCTCTGCCCTTCCCTCTCTGCCCTTCCCTCTCTGCCCTTCCCTCTCTGCCCTTCCCTCTCTGCCCTTCCCTCTCTGCCCTTCCCTCTCTGCCCTTCCCTCTCTGCCCTTCCCTCTCTGCCCTTCCCTCTCTGCCCTTCCCTCTCTGCCCTTCCCTCTCTGCCCTTCCCTCTCTGCCCTTCCCTCTCTGCCCTTCCCTCTCTGCCCTTCCCTCTCTGCCCTTCCCTCTCTGCCCTTCCCTCTCTGCCCTTCCCACTATGCCCTTCCCTCTCTGCCCTTCCCTCTCTGCCCTTCCCTCTCTGCCCTTCCCTCTCTGCCCTTCCCTCTCTGCCCTTCCCACTATGCCCTTCCCTCTCTGCCCTTCCCTCTCTGCCCTTCCCTCTCTGCCCTTCCCTCTCTGCCCTTCCCTCTCTGCCCTTCGCTCTCCAACCTTCCCTCTCTGCCCTTTGCTCTCTGCCCTTCGCTCTCTGCCCTTCGCTCTCTGCCCTTCCTTCTCTGCCCTTCCCACTATGCCCTTCCCTCTCTGCCCTTCCCTCTCTGCCCTTCCCTCTCTGCCCTTCCCTCTCCGACCTTCCCTCTCCGACCTTCCCTCTCCGACCTTCGCTCTCTGCCCTTCGCTCTCTGCCCTTCTCTCTCTGCCCTTCCCTCTCTGCCCTTCCCTCCCTGCCCTTCCCTCTCTGCCCTTCCCTCTCTGCCCTTCCCACTATGCCCTTCCCTCTCTGCCCTTCCCACTATGCCCTTCCCACTATGCCCTTCCCTCTCTGCCCTTCGCTCTCTGCCCTTCGCTCTCTGCCCTTCACTCTCTGCCCTTCGCTCTCTGCCCTTCGCTCTCTGCCCTTCGCTCTCTGCCCTTCGCTCTCTGCCCTTCGCTCTCTGCCCTTCCCTCTCTGCCCTGCGTTTCCCCACTCACCATCATCAGGTGGGTCCAGGGGAGATGTCTTTCATCGTGTTGACAGCCCTGCCCTGTCTTGGCCCTGCCCCTGAAATCCCTGCCCTTCTATCATCAGGTGGTGCATGCATTTGACGCCGAGGGTCCTGGGGAGGTGTCCCTCAGTGTGCTGACTGCCCTTCCCTCTCTGCGCTGCCGTCCCTTACCCCATGCACCACCCACACACCATCATCAGGTGATGCATGCGTTTTAAGCCAAGGGTCCGTGGGAGATGTCCCCCAATGTGTTGACTGCCCTTTCCTTGTTTTCCTGCTGCCATTTCCCCACATACCATCTCTCAGGTGGTGCATGCATTTGACGCAGAGGGTCCTGGGGAGATGTCCCTCAGTGTGCTGATTGCCCTTCCCTCTCTGCGCTGCCTTCCCATGTTCATCACCATCAACCTGCCTTTCCCCTGCCTTTTCCCGACCTTTTGCCTGCATTCGATCATCAGGTGGTGTATGCATTTGACGCAGTGGGTCCAGGGGAGATGTCCCCCAATGTATTGACTGCCCGTCCTTCTCTGGGCTGCCTTTCCTTACCACCCACCCACACACCATCATCAGGTGGTGCATGCATTTGACGCAGAGGGTCCGGGGGAGATGTCTCTGAGTGTGGGTGACTACGTGGTTGTCAGACAGGTGGGCAGTTGAATGTTCTTAGGGCAAACTGGTGGGCAATATGATGTTTTTAGGGCAGTCAAGTGGGTGATTAAATGTTTCCATTCTGCTTGCCGCCTCTATCTACTCCCCATATCCGATTCCCACATGTGCTTGTGACTTTGTCATCTCTCTCCTTCCTCTTACATTTGACTCCAATATGTACCCACCCTCCTTCCTGACAGGTGTCGCCCAACGGTTGGTCGGAGGGTGAGGCGAAAGGCAAGGCTGGGTGGTTTCCTTCGGCCTTTGTGGAACGCAGGCAGAGAGCCCCAGCAAGTAAAATCCTGGAAGCTTCCGGAGGCCTTTAGATCCGCGGGTGAAGCCGTTGAATAATGTAACGATAATTGTCAAACCCCGTTTCGTACGCAATGATACATACACGTACAGCTTAATATGGTACTACAGTAGGTTTTGTGAAGGAAATAGTGTCGTGACCTTGTTTATTAAGTTGGCCAGCTTGTCCAGCATTACAGTTTCTCTGCACGCCATCAATACCGTATTACCGTACCTGTCTATGAGGTGTATTCTGCACACTTAGCAGGTCTAAGGAACTCTTAAGACCCGGAAACTCTAGCCTTCCTGCCACCCACCTTTCAGCCACAGCCTCGCAAGCCTTGCACCATACCACCGTGCCGTACGAGTTGAGAGAACAATGACCGAACAGGTTCCCGGGGAAACTTCCCAGTTCGGTGGCCACAGGTCCGAGATGAAGAGCCGCACTCCAACCAGCGAATCGAGGTCACCAAGCTTTGACTGGAGGTTTTTGACGAGCAGCCCGGCCATGTCGGTGCAGAGCGCGACACAGGCGTCATGATGACCGGGTCCACGGTAGTTCACGTTGGTGCGCTCGTGGAGGTCGACAGTGGCCCCTTCCACCACCATCTTCGGCGACCCTTGTGGCCCATGCTTGGCGATGAACCGGTACAGATGTTCGTTGGAGCCGCCGCCGAAATGGTCGCCACCGTCGATGTAGCGGCTCTCCAGGAGAGAGGTTGTGCGCAGGATCTGAGTGTGAACGAGGGGGTAGTCGAGCTGCCACACACGAATCACAGCGGTAGTTAATACCAGTACATTAAATAACAAGTTTAAAACGAGTGAACCGTCACTCACCTCCTGATGCTGGAAAACCTTAGAGAGGACGTTCAGCAGCTCCAGCACGTCCGCAAGAAACCTCAGGAGGAACTGGAAGCGATACGATGTTACAAGCTCGTACATCGTCTGGTCCTTCCACTCGGACTGCATCACGACTATGGCGGGCATGACTTGGACGAACCGCGACACTGCAGCACCCCTCGACAGCCATCAAACCTCGTGTATGCCTTGCACCTCGAGGTTCGTGGATGTGAAGACCTCCTGGAGCTCCATGAAGCGTTGATGCCACGGCCCCGAACGCCCAAGGTATTCCGCGACCGCGCGGATGACGTCGCCGACCATGTTGAATGTCGGGATCTCTTCTGCTGCAGCTTTTGCAGCCAATGCTTTGTCAAAGTACAATCTCACTTGTAGGCTATAATGGGGCACTCCTTGTGGGGTACAGCACTTCTAGGGTTAGTATTTGTACCCCAACTCTTGCTAATCCAATCATTCCTGCACAGTGGATTCTGACATGGTATCAGAGTAGGAAACCTGTTTGGTTTTTAGGGCACATCGATAGTTCCGCTAGTTCCTGCCCGAAGCGCCCTTGCGCTGTCCGGCCCTGCTCGCACAGTGTCGCGCTGCCCTGCAGCTACTCGCACTGCCTGCCCTCCGCCCGTCGCGCCCTGCTGCGGCCTGCGAGTCGCGCCCTGCTGCCCTGCCCAGCGCGCGCCGCCCTGCCCTGCAACCCGCGCCCAGCCGCCTTGCAGCCCGTGCATCGCGCTGCCCTGCCCTTAGGCCCGCGCGCCGTCCTGCCTTGCAGCTCGCGAGCCGCGCTGCCCTGCCCTTAGGCCTGCGCACCGCCCTGCCCTGCAGCCCAGCGCGTCGCGCCCTGCTGCCCTGCCCAGCACGCGCCCCACTGTCCTGCGCGTTGCGCCCTGCTGCAGCCCGCGTGTCGTGCCCTACTGCAGCCCGCGCGTCACGCCCTACTGCCCCGCGCATCGCGCCGTACCGCAGCCCGCGTGTCGCGCCCTGCTGCCCCGCACGTCGCACCCTACTGCCTCGCGCGTTGCGCCCTACTGCAGCCCGCGCGTCACGCCCTGCTGCCCTGCGCGCCGCGCCCTGCTGCAGCCCGCACTTTGTGCCCTGCTGCTCTGCCCAGAGCGCGCCCTGCTGCCCTGTCCACCGCGTGCCCTGCCCTGCAGCCCGCGGGGCGCCCTGCCTTGCCCAGCCGGGCCGCCCAGCCCGAGCCGCCCTGCCCAACCCGAGCAGCGGCTAGAAGAGGACAGCAGCGGTCACTGCCTCTCCCGGACGACCCCACTCCTCAGCAGCAAGGCATTCCTGGTGGCAGAGGTTTTGGTTTTATGGGTACTGCACAGCGGCGGCAGCAGCGTCCGCAGAGCACCTTCTCCCTGCAGCGGCATCGCGACTGTGCTTCTCAGCGATGCGTCCCTGGTTGTGTAGAGGCTGTTTCTCTAGGTGCTAGTGAGTTTGCTGCAGCTCTAGGTGCTCGTGAGTCTACCGACGCTCTAGGTGCTAGTGCGTCTACTGCCACAGGTCCTGCCTCAGCTGAGGCATTCCACACTTTCACACTTGACTCAGGCGCGTCACGTTGCTTCTTTCATGATTGCACCACAGTCACACCTGTCCCAGTCTCACTGTCTGACCCCACTGGGGGGCCAGTAGTTGCGCGAGCCTCCACTGTCCTCCCGTGTCCGGCAGTCCTCTCCGGGTCTCTCTCAGGTCTCCACTTCCCCGCGTTCTCGACGAACTTTTTGAGCAACGCAGTTCTCTAGGATGAATGGGTTGGCACCTTCATTACTGGAGGACAGCGTCTGGCGATCTGTAAGTGCTCACGGACTGGCCGTCACCTTGCTACGTTCACTCGTCAGCCTGGGTCCGGTCTGGACACACTGACCATTGCGTCTGCACAGGTGGCTGAGTCAGGTCAGGTGGCTGCATTGGGTCGGGTGTCTACGTATGGTCAGCTTGCATCGTCTTGCTCGTGTCGGGTACTCTCTCATAAGACTCTCCTTTGGCACCACTGCCTAGCTCACCCCTCGCTGCCGCGTCTCCGCAGCATGCACTCCCGTCTCCTTATCTCTGGCCCTCCCAGGTCCATGCCCTCCCTCCCGCTCTCGCTTGCACCGTTGTGCCTTCCCTGCATCGAGGGGCGGCAGCGCGCCGTTCCTCACTCCTCCGAGTTTCCTCCGACCACTGCTCCTCTGCAGAATCTCCACATGGACGTGTGGGGCCCGACCCCCGTCGGTGGAACGGACCAGGAGTGCTACTTCCCGCTGGTTGTTGACGACTACACACGGATTACAAAAGCATACAACACGTACCGGTGTGCAATGCAGTGGAACGAGACGAGGTTGGGAATGAGCATACGGATTCGAGCAACCACTCCACTATGGGGGCCCACCATGACCATCACGCCGTCTGTGCTCATGCCCGAGATACGGCGGAGGTCCACGCTGATTGCCCTGAGGTGGGAAAGCAACAGCCTGGAAAGCGAAGCAGCGTCAGCTTTCTCAACAGTGGGCAAAGCGATGAACTCTGTGACGACAACACCATCGCGCATGAAGGTGGCAAACACAATCATGTGTTTGCCACGTCGACGATCGGTGCTCTTGTCCAGCGTGATCCCAATGAAGGGGCTCGTTAAAATATGTTCCAGCTGCGTCGTTTGAAGCCACGTCGATATTGCTTTAGTAAGTTCTCCAAAGCCGTACCTGGCCAACAAAAAACCATAGTAGTTAGCGACATACGAATAGTGGATGTGCATGAAGCAAATACAACCGTAAATACTTCCGTATTGTAGTAGGTCCCGTACCCTTGCTCCGGGAAACCGGGTACCTTTTTCTTTGCCAGGTAGCGCACTAGTCGAATCCACGAATCCATAGGCTCGTTGCACTTGCTCATGAAGTACAGCGAGTCTACGAGACTAGACACCTGCAGCAGCTCTTTGTCCTGCGCTTTCGGGTGTAGGTCGATGCGCTGTTGTCCCTCAAATGTCTGCAAGAGGTCCTCCTGCCTCTGCAGAGCTAACCGATGCTTCAACGTCCCTTCATGCTTCTTGAAAGACAGCGTCTGCACGTTGGTAGCGCCCTCACCACGCCGTCCACACTTGCCTGTCAATCCCGCAAACTCCAAGCATATACAGCACTTAAAAGCAGGGGCACCAGAATAAGTTTTAGTTAGAATCAGCCACGAGTAATCGCTAGACCACTTAGTCTTAAAACGATCGTGAGCTTCGTATTTCAACTCAAAGCTGCCGGGATTGGGCTGTGAGCTGTCCTGCACGGGAGATTCGTCGCTCGCTGGAGCTTCACCAGTCGATGGAGGAGTTGGATTTGCCCACGCAATGGTGGACTGTCGGTACCGCAGCTTCGTCGGTGGCGCGGGACAGGACGGTATTTCAACGGACGCCTCATGGGCCACCGTCTGTGGCGCATCGATCACTGGTTCAATCGCGGCCTCTTGCAGAGGTTCAGAGATAATGGAAACCGGAGCGTGACTCGAGCTGGGTTGCGACGGTGGCGCAGGCGGTGGAAGAGGCTTCTCTAAGACCGATCTAAGAAAGTCTAGGCCGGTCACCATGTCGCATACAGGGCGACGATCGGCATCTCCGTCATCGTCCAGCCCTTCGGCGGCAGCGTCTGTAGCTGCCATGGAGTTTGCCGAGCAGTGTTTTCGCAAGTTCGGGAAAAGGAGCCTGAAACAAGGGTTCAGGCTCTAGTTTCAGGCGAGGGCATTGAACTGGAGCGAGAGAGACAGGCCACTGAGTGACGCGCAAGAACGGTGACGATGAGGAAGCTGAGAGGTCCTCGTATTAGGTCCTCTCATCTCCCTGGTGGTCACTACATGCACGGCACCTGGTCGTGTATGCAGGGAAGGTGGGGTGGGTGGGGTGGATGGGTGTGGTGTCGTCCGAGGTGCACCGCGCTGCGAGCTATGCGTTGGCAAGGAATCTTGCCAACGCTGCCTGTTGCGCAGCCGCGATAGGTTGGAATTGACGCTGATTACAACATTCCTGTACCAACGCGACTGTGCGATGCCGCGCTCGGGAACTTTGGTTTCCCGCCCGTGATTGACAGTGTTAGTGCTACACGCGGCCAGGCTGGCGGAAATCTCAGTATTACCGGTTTCAGAGTGCACCCCTGATACAAGGCTGAGGGCTCAGCCTACACTCATAAAATTAGGCTGGAATTTCAGCCTAGTCTTTAAAAAA